TGCAGAAAGCCCAATCATTTTGCTATATGTTTTCTAATAACAAGTCTGCCTGGATACAAAGAACTTGAGTATGTATGTTATGATATAGGATGAGAATCTAGGGACAGTTGGCATAAGTGACTTTTCTTCTATTCTGTGCATTAGAAAGAAACATTTTGAACCTCATAAGTACCATGCCGTCATTCAGGAGTCCATTTGATATGTGTCAAAGTTTAGGCCTGACAACAAACCCAACTTTCTCTTACAAGTATCAAGGAACTAAATGAACTAGCAAATTGACATCTTCCTATCCCACTGCATCCAGAGTAATATATTTGCCCAGTTTGGGTGCGTACCTTTTAATACAGTGACCTACCATTCAAAGTTATAGCATGCGATTGAAGACCATGGGTTGAATTCAAGGGCTCCAAAATATTTAATTTCTTGCTATAAGTAGCCATCAGCTGATTGAACCAACAAATTTACATGTAGCTATCCCACTGTGTAAGAAAATGTTTTTACTATCTAATTCAGATCCAACCTGGTACAGAGTAAGAACCAAGACAACTGAGTGACTTGGCATTTATTGTTTGAGTATGATGTTAAATTGGAGGCTGAAGTTTGAGGTCAGGTGCTCCAGATTACTTCACATACCTCAGTGAATTGACTGTTGTAATCTTCCATGTGGACTTCAAATTCTTGCACACCTTCCACTAAATTTGGCTCAGGTAATGGGATTTGGTAGAGAAACCTATCATGTTGCTTTCAAACTCATTCTTCTTCATTATGTTAAGTTTATCATAATTCTTTTCTCTTTTCTTCAGCAGATTCCTCAGAATGAACCTGAACTTAAGCATGGTGGGGGCATCCGAATTGCTGTAATGTATGCAGTAAAATATTCTGTTGGCCAAGTGGTCTAAAGAGATATGAACGCACACATAGTGGCGAACGTCCATATTCCTGTGATGTGTGCAGTAAATCGTTCCGACAGAATCATAATTTGAAGATACATAAATGCGCACATAGTGGTGAACGTCCATATTCCTGTGATGTGTGCAGTAAATCGTTCCGACAGAATCATAATTTGAAGATACATAAATGCGCACATAGTGGTGAACGTCCATATTCCTGTGATGTGTGCAGTAAATCGTTCCGACAGAATCATAATTTGAAGATACATAAATGCGCACATAGTGGTGAACGTCCATATTCCTGTGATGTGTGTAATAAATCATTCAATAGGAAGAGTTGTCTGAAGAAACATCTTTTCTTACATCAAATCCTGTGATGTGTGTGACAGATCATTCATTCAGTGGAGTCATCTGAAGACACATTAGAGCATGTAACTTGGATAGTGTCCATGTTTCTGTGTGTGTATGTGCACTAAATAGAGTGATCTCAAGAACCATTAATGTATGAATTGTTGTTTTTCGTATCCTGTGTGTAACACGTTTTTTCATTGTCAGGGTACTCCGTGGAGACGTAATTGTATACACAGCATCCGTATCACATGATTTCTGCTTCGAGTTTCTGAACAAATGTCATCTTACTCTTAACTGATATGTGTGTAAGAACATGTTCTGGAATTGGTGTATCGTGTTGCAAAAGAAGAAATGTACTATGAAAAAGTGGTAGAAATGAACAGATCTAAGAATTTTAGTAAAACTCATCAACATTCACAGCCTAAGATCTGTGATAAATTTATTAAGAAGGATTTCCAATTAAGACTGTGGAACTGAGACATAAGTAATATTAATTGCTCAGCCAACTTTGGTTTAAATGATGTACAAGGTTTTGTGTTTGAACTTGGTACACATAGCTAATAGCACAGAGTATTTAACGTTGTCAGTCAATATGTTTATTTGACAATGCTGAATTCAATGCTTTCAGATGTTATTATGAAGGTGTTAACTTTTACTATACTCTGAACGTGATGACTTGAATGTGTTTTTCACAGTGGTGGCCCATCCGTAAGAGCTGCAGAGTTGCAGCACCCCTTATAATTTTTCAAAAATTGAAAAATATTATTTTTTGTGTTTATATAATTTGTAACACTTTATTTCCTCTATATCATTATTTTAATATTGCCGGCTGCAAGTATTTCAGCGCGGCTGGCCGGTCTAAAGTTGTGAGCGCAGTGTGAGGTAGAGTGAGGGGCAGTTCACTGTTACTGCGCGAATCAGAGCTGCGGTCCCCGCAGCCAGCTTATAGTAAACACGCTTGTCTGGTACTACGTGTTTTAGACTCGTTTTGTGGTTATTGTTAATGAGTGTTCAATAATTCTGTGTGCTGACTATTTTTTGTTCTGATAATGATAATGAGCAAAGGAAGTGCATCATAGTTACAGCAAAATACTTTTTCTAAATTGTCTTTGACTGAAAAAAATGATGTAAAAAATCATGGCCACCATCTTCAGGACTTACAAATAGTTAAAACATCGTCGAGCACGTATGGGTTTTCTCCTGATGTAAATTTACTTTTCATTTATTTATGTCGTTTTGTGTTGAAAAACTATTCTGATTTTTCCGCTTTGTACAGCACTACAACTACTCAGACTCACGAGCCGCCACTGGTTTTTACTTTGTTGTTAATAGGACAGTGTTTCTTTTATTGAGTTTGAAGATGACTACTGCAGTACAAACAGTATACTCAAACAAACGGTTCTGGAACTGAACCCATGCCTCCGCGTTTATACCCAACTGATGGTGTGGTTCACCTGAGTCCTCCTGTCCTTCTGCTGGGTAACTGCGAATATCTTTGTCTTTTTTAGCACTACGGCCCTTTCAGTGTAGCCTTGGCTTCTCATATCCGTAGATATCACTCGTCTAAATTACCTGAGCTTCGTGATGCTCTCCCTTGTAACCTCCGTTGATTCAAGGTCCTTGTGAAGGGTCGGGCAGTCTAGCCAGTGCTTATGGGTCTGGTTTCTGGGTGGTCGGTGGCGGACTGGTGGCGTGGTGGGCAAAGCAGTGCCACACCCTGTTCGGCGCGCAGGCTTTCTCACGTCCCTCAGGATCTCGAGGCGAAGGCCAGCACTTATCGCATTCTGTGCACAGACAGATACAGCTACGAGGTGCGATCGGAAAGTTTCAAGACTGCGCCTATAAAAACCCGTACACTTATCTCAGGTATTAAATTCATCCATCACCCTCGAAGTAGTTCCCCTGGGAGTGAACACAACG